TTTGTATTTTATAATGGAATATACACGACAATTAAGGGTGGAGCGTTTTATTTGTATGATTATTCAGGGCTTATAGTTAGTATATTTTCAGTATATTTTCGGTATATTCTCAAAAGAGCAATATTTAAAAAAAGTCATATATATCATTAAAAAACGAATAAAATAAACTATATATATACTGAACGTTAAACTTAAAACAAAAAAAAAAAAAAGAAGAAGACATATATTTGGATAGAAGTCATGTTTTTCATTGCATCATATACTGAAAATATACTAACATAAACGCAACATATACCAACTGGACAGTTGCGTGAATTACAATACATGTTTATATATATCTTATTAAAAACGTAAAAATGTGCGTAAATTAAGGAATTAAATGAGTTATTATAAGCATATTTTCATTTATCTCTCCTAATCAATCCCATAAAAAAGGGATGGAAGTTAAAAGGATAAGGTAACTTATTTAGACATTAATATAAATAAATAAGTGATTTAGGGGGATAATTTCAAAATTGGTCCTATAATTTGTCCACAGTCCAAAAAACCACCCCTATATTGACCACTATCAAAATTGGTCCTATAACTTCAAAAGTTAATCAAATTTGGTCCTTTTTTAATCAATTTTTTTCCTTTTTTAATCACATTTTAATCCATGTTCCGGATAAAAAGGACCAAATTTGATTAAATTTTGAAATTATAGGACCAATTTTGATAGTGGTCAATATAGGGGTGGTTTTTTGGACTGTGGCCAAATTATAGGACCAATTTTGAAATTATGCCAGTGATTTAGGTAAAGACATAATTATTAATATAGATATGGTAGAAATGTAAATAAGTTCAAATCACATAGCACATGCGAGCCCTGGGAATGCAGCAGTGTTAAAACTCTTGAGGGAGAGCTTTGCCGCCCTTGTGGTCCTACCCGGCTCGATTCCGGATTAGTCGGTTCTCATGTGGATCCGGAAACCGGAAAGTCCCTGTACCAAAAAAAAAATTCCCCATTACATTATGTTCGGTTGGGTAATGGGCTAATGGGCCAAATAAAATATTGGGTTGGGTCATGGACTAATGGGCTAAATGAAATATGGGGTTGGGTCTAAAAAACTAACACGAAATCCTAAGCCCAATAGTATTCGGTATTACCAAACTATGTAAAAACAAAATCCGTTATCGAACTGAAAAAGAGTCGGCTACCGAAAAAATCAGTTCGGTTCATTGATTTTTCGGTGTCAGTTCGGTTCGGTTCGATTATTTTGTTTTTGAGAGAAAAATGTCACCCCTAATTATGATTAGTGTTGGCAAGTTTTGAAATCGTTATATAATCCTCCCTATGTATAATTCCCGAATGCGTTGAGCCTACGTGTCTGCTTCTGGTGCTTCGGAATCCTATTTGGCGAAGAATCATGCTTCGTAATTAGGTTTGGACAAATAATATTGATATATTAATAATTAATAATCTATGTTCGTGTATTCCATAAATATTATTTAGCTAACTTAGGTATTTTAACATCACTTTTACTAATATAACCCTTTAATTATTTGTATATTTACATAGTGAGGCACTAAGTGACTAATATATCCCTAAATTTTGATTTGCTTCCTTCAATAAGCTATTGAATTATAAATGTATTTTAAAAGTTGATAACTTTTGTATTTCTTATCGGTTTTACATATATAATATATCAAATTAATCATCTTTTGATGATCTTCGATTTGACATCCATATTGTATATATAAAATAAATAAATTATATTTATATTTATAATAATAAAAAATAATAATACTTATTAAAATTCATTAGAAATATAAAATTATTTCTCAATTGATATATTTATATTTAATGTAGTTAAATATTATAAGTTAAAAAATTAGTATAATATAACACAAGTAAGTCGCACAAATAAAAATTATCATAATAAATATATAATAACATATATATTCTTATAAAAGGTATTTAAATTTTCAAACTACTTTTTCTCATTGATTTTAAATTTTAATAAAAAAATTAGCAAGCACCCGTGCAATACACGGGTGTTGTACTAGTAGTGTTGTTAAATACATAACCACGTCGCAATAAAGAAGTGTTTCGCTTTGAAGTTTATCAACACATAAATTGTGTCATCAAAATTCATTATAACGACGCATATAATAAAGTGTTACATATTATAATTTACAGTTCACATGTGGTGTGTGGTCAAAATTTATAACGAAGTCGCACTCAAAAAAACGTCAAACATAATTATTACAGACACAAACGGCTTGTGTCACAAATTCTACAAAAAGTGATATATTTAAAAAATGACAAAAAGTTAACTAAGTTAAAGTATTGTGTCGCAGATAATTTCGTTAAATCAAATCTAGCAAAGCGACTCGCGATACCTGTAATAATGTAGGTAATTATTTATAATGCTAATAAGCATTATTAAAATATAATTAGTTAGTTTTATTAACAACTGTAAAATAATTTAAAAAAATATAACTATTACTCAGTTAATATAACACGTAACGTTCTTTTGTTATAGTTACCCCCAAAAAAAATAGGGGAAAACCAAAGTTTTTTGCATTAAATTCTTCTCTCTTTAAATATGTATATATAGAATTGCTATTGTATGTTTCATAACACTCAAGAATTCATTTATTAACTGTTTTCAGTTAAGTTATTGTATTAAATCAAACATAACTCACACAACACCAAAGAAACTGAAAAAATTGGTAGGACTAAATGCTTCTGTAACAGTTAGCTGCTTAATGTTTACCACACACACTGAAATAATAAAGCCACCCGAACAAAAAATTTCAACCAGCCATCAAAACAAGGGAGGGAAGAATTT